CAAGATGTCCTGGAGACACTGCCAGGGGTGGGGAAGGGTCATGGGTGTACAGCCAGCACCTCCAGGCTGCCTCTCTCAGACCACCTCTCCCTCAGATCAGCGGGCCCCTCCCCTCCCAGCCCTGCTGGCCGATCCCCGCCCCATCCCCACGGCCCTCAGGAGTACCCACCTGCTGTCCCGGAGCCCAGGAAAGAGGCTCAGCCTGGAGGGCCTGCACCAGCGGGGGCCTTCGCACAATGCCCACCAGGATCTGGGACTCTGGCAGGTGGAGAGGGAGAGGGAGGGAGGCGTGTTACAAAGAACAGGGACTCACATTGACTTAGCACCTACGTAGCCCAGAACTGTGCTGGGTGTTGCTGTGGGGCTATTGTAACTATTGTCACCCTTTATAAAGGACAAGAAACAGGCTCAGCTGCACAGAGAGGCTCATTGTCTTGCCCAAGGACATTGAGCTTCTGAAGTAGAGGTGTGGTAGCTGAGGGTGGCCAGCAGGGACCCTGGCCACCACAGAGATCCCCCACGTTGCAGGTCGTCAAGATTGGAGCAAGCTGAGGGTGCTGGCACCATGACATCTGTGTGTCAGGGCTGGGCTCTCTCCTTCATTTCCCAAGAGGTTTCACATCTGGCGCAGCCCAGTGAAAGTGTGAGCCCAGGAGGCCACCATGTTCTGAGGCCCTACTGTGTGCTGGGGGCCTTGGCAAGCTTCACTCTGGCTTTAAAATGAACAATGAGGCTATTTCTTGGGTGAGCAGTGGGACCCCACAGCCTGGGCCTGTGTTGGTTGAAGCACTTTGCTGTGGCTCTAAGGGTCAAAGAAGACTTTGTCTTAGAGGCTCATTCTTCCTTTGCCCCAGGAGGTGAAGCCTCTTGGTGGGGTCATCCCAACGCAAACATTTTCAGATGAGATATTTGTCATGTTCCACGGTGTAATGCTAACAGTCTTCCGATTAGTGAGGAAAAAAGGGCCCAGCATTTGGGGTGAGAACGTCTGGCCCTCTACTCTCTTGAGCCCTACTTTCCAGATAATGAAAATGCAGTACATAGAGCTTCAGTGGAATATTCACAATTCCTTAGCTCATAAGTGGATCTATCCTTCTGAGGGTGGGCATAAGGGTGACCCATATGGTTGTACAGGTTGCTCACTGCACAAGGTGCCTACCCAAAGTGCAAGTGGAGACCAAAATCCAGCTGTGCTGTGCTTGCCAGGTGTGCACCTTGTCTCATTTGCACAGGGAGACATGGGGCTGACAGCGGCCTTGAGTGGGCAGGGCTACCCCCTAACCCCGCCTTGTCTTCCGGATGTAGATACTGGACTTGTCCCCACAGGAAAGCATGCTCTAGTAAAGGTTTCCCCAAGCACTGGGTTCCATACCTTTTAACAAGGGCCACCATGCTTTTGTCTTTAAGGAGATGTTTTCCTCATGGCAACAGGGATTTGGGGGAGGGGCCTCATCTGGGAAACGCTTGAAGGGAGGCCTGAAGGGAAGCTTCTGAAAGACCCTGGTGGTGTCCGAAACCTCTTACCCCAGCAGCTGCCCAGGGGCTGCCCTACAAGCACCTGGCCGTCTCTCTTTAGACAAGTCAACCACCCCAAGGGAGGAAGGCCATGATCTCCATTTTACTAATGAGGAAACTGAGGCTCAGGCAAAGTGACTTGCCCAAGGTCACACGGTTGCTTGCTAAGCCACAGAGCCTGGATGCAGATCCTGTCTGCCTGACGGGTCCAAGCAGGGGGCAGAGGGCATCACACCCTCCCCCCACCCCCCGCTGCCGACTTCCTCCCCTCTTCTGGCTGGCACCTGTGCTCTCCACCAGGGGATACTCGGCTATGTCTGTGGAGGTCACGACCTTGACCACCTCCTCTAGTGGCATGTCCTTGGCCAGCATGGTGATGCTGTGGTTCATGAAGTGTTCCACCCTCACATGGTGGGAGCTGCGGGCAGAGGGGCTCCCATCAGGTTCCGGAATCAGAGACGTCAGACCCAGGCCAGGCAGGGGCATCTTGGGGGAGCTTTGCTGGAACCAGGGACTCATGGCTCTGGAGTGTGGGCAGAGCCGAAGAGATTCCTGGAATGAGGGACGCCTAGAATCCACGGTAGGAGGAAAACTTGGAGACCACGTCCCTGATGGCCCAGTTCCGAATCCCCATCCCCCATGCCTCCATGTCCTCCAGTCAGTTCCACTCTGGCCTTTTTTACCCAGCAGGCTTCTCTGGAGAATTTCATTTGAATAAAAAGTATCTGTGGCTGGGCATGTACTGGCTCACGCCTGTAATCCCAGCACTTTGGGAGGCCAAAGCAGGTGGATCACTTGCGGCCAGGAGTTCGAGACCAGCCTGGCCAATACAGTGAAACCTCGTCTCTACTAAAAATATAAAAACAATCTGAGCATGGAGACATGTGCCTCGTCTGAGCTACCTGGGAGGCTGAGGAAGGAGAATTGCTTGAATCTGGGAGGTGGAGGTTGCAGTGACTGATTGTGACACTGCACTTCAGCCTGTGTGACACAGCAAGAGAGACTCTAGCTCAAAGGAAAAAAAAAAAAAAGTATATCCTTCCTCCAGGGTAAGAACTTGAAGGTTTGGAAACCACTGGGGCGACAGCCCCATTTTACAGAAAAACAGGTTCACAGCAAGGCAGCAGCTTGCTCATGTTTGGGATGGGGCCTCGGACCCAGCGACTCTCAGAGCCTCTTTGATCTGCTTCTCTGGCGCCAGAATCTGCTCTGGTCCGATACGTCTGGTGGAGTGAGGACCTCAAAGCCCATTTCCGTTCTTGTTCCACCTCCTGCTCCTAAACTCCCAGTGAAGGCAGCAGAAGTGGGGAGAAGGGGGGACCCCCAGCTCTGGTGCTGGAGCAGGACACGGCCCCTCTCCGAGCCCCGGCTTCCTCACCCTGCACATGGGGCAGTGTTCATCCTCCTGCTGTGAGGACCTGCTGACCGCTAGACAGACACTGAGGCCTGAAGGCCGAGGCCTTGCCCAAGGTCACCCGGGGCACTGGGGAAGTGGAGACCGGAGCACAGCTGGTGTCACCCCTCCCAGCCCCCATGTCCAAGGTCAGCTGCGGTGGCCTTTCTTTTTTTTTTTTTTGAGACAGTGTTTCCCTCTTGTTGCCCAGGCTGGAGTGCAATGGTGTGAGCTTGGCTCACTACAACCTCCACCTCCCAGGTTCAAGCGATTCTCCTGCCTGAGCCTCCCAAGTAGCTGGGACTACAAGTGCATACCACCACACCCAGCTAATTTTTGTATTTTTAGTAGAGACAAGCTTTCACCATGTTGGCCAGGATGGCCTTGATCTCTTGACCTCATAAGCTGCCTGCCTCGGCCTCCCAAAGTGCTGGGATTACAGGCGTGAGCCAGCGCGCCCAGCCTGCGGTGGTGTTTCTTTTTAGAGGTGCCCTCCATCCCCGACCCTGCCCAGACACTGTGACCCTTTCAGCCAGCCTGAGGTGGGTGCCGCTCACCCGATCCTGCGGCCCAGAATCCGTGGCAGGTATGGCAGCTTCTTGACGATGATGGTGCCATCGTAGAAAGAGGGCTGGCAGCTCTGTGCAATGGCATTGGCTGCCAGCACTGCCATCAGCACGGGCAACGCATGCACTATCTGACCAGTCATCTCAAAGGCCAGCAGCGCCGTGGAGATGGTGTGGGTCACAGCCCCTGAGAAGGCTGCAGCCCCTGTGGGGGCAGAGTCAGGCAGAGCAGCTCAGGCCAGGGGCCAGCCTCATGTGAGGGCAAGGCTGGCATAGCTGCAGCCAGGGTCCAGGCAACAGGCTGGGCACTGTGGGAAGTGCCCCAAGGCCTGAGCTTGATGAGAAAAGAGGAATAAGGGAGGCCACGGGGGATGGAGGACAGGACAGGAGCCCTGAGGGAGAGATGGGATCTGGGGAATGGTGGGGCTCAGGAGGGACAGGCCCCCATGAGGGGTGGGGGACTCACTGGGGGCTGGGGGGCTGCTCCGTGCCCTATGGAACCACTGATTGGTTCTCCAGGTCCAGCCCAGCCCCACGACGTTGCCCACCCTGACGCACTCACCTGCCAGGGCATACCCACCAGGCATGATGGGATTGGTGACCCCTCCAGCCACGATGCCCTCAGGGAAAACAAAAGAGACAGTCTCCCCAAAGAGGCGCCCGATGGCAGCTCCTGGCCACAGACTTAGGGTGAGGGGGAGCCAGGCTGACCCAGCCCCCACAGCTCCCCATCCCTGAGGACTACCTCAGTACCACCCCAGAAGAGGGTGAACCAGGAGCCATGGCCCTGCCCCAAGAACCCCGAAACTCTCAGAACCTCAGGGCCCCAGACTCACC